TGTTTAATGACAACTCCTGGTTAACTCTCGTTGCAGTTGCTTCATGCTTCGTGTCTTCTTTCGTCTTGATAACCCTAACAACTAAACATAACTCGTCTTCGTGTGTTGACTAGCTTAACACGAATTACATGTGAGTTATGGCAACTTTCGTCTAGGACGAAAGCAGCAATAAAAAAATAATAACGGTTAGGGGTCTACTTTCTAGGTTACATTGGTATCCTCAAAATCCTAATACAAGTGTTCCTAACAATGTCTAATAAAAAATAAAAAGTTAGTAAAATTAAATGAGTGAAATAAATAATGAACACATAAATCTTATAAATATTAGACAACTGAATTTTAATTTTTAGGATAATAAATATTATTATTTGTTAGAGCATCTCCATTAATCTGATTTTTGCACAGATTTTTAAGTGTAACTAGGAGAGAAGAGTGGAAGAGAAAAAATGAAAAAAAAAAAAAACAAAAGAAAATAATTAAATGAGGGTGGTCGCAAGTTGGTGACCACCCTCTCAATGCACCCAGTGGGCGTTGTTGTTGCGCTTTATACATATATCTTTTCGTGGGTTCTACAATACTAGACAAACCAATATCTCCTACAACTTGTTTTTTTTTTTTTTTTTCTCTCATCTTCATCTCTTTTCCACATAAGCTTAAGCCTCCTAAAAAATCTCTTAAAATTTATCATTGTGGATGTCTTAAGAATTTGTACTTAGATTTTGATGATATTATGATTGTATTAGAACTTAGATGTAAAGACCATATATATGAATGCTTATTGTAAAGATCAAAATAAATGCGCGCTGCGTTAACCCATAAAATACCATTAACGATGCCATTTAAAGTAACATTAAATGCACAAAACCAAATAAAATGTGTGACTTCACTCTATATAAACATTAAACTACCAGTCTGACACGAGGGTACATGCAGTATTATTACGTCTTAATATTCTCATCTCGTAACTCTAGGCAAATTACACGGCACCCATGAAATCCCAAACCTTTGCTTTCGTTCTTGCACTCATCTTCGATCATATCCTAGCGAAGAAAAAGCGTTCCATGATTTTGAAGGCCGCAATAAGCATGAAGTTCCTAGCGAACCCAACCCGATATCGAATTGATGAATCAATCAGCGTTTCATGATTTTGTTACAGTCAGGTTCGCCTAACGAAAAAATTGATATATTATATACTCAGAATGAATAATGGGTGAATAAAAAATTGAGTTTCAAACTATACAAGAAGTATTTGTCTCACACTAAAAAATAAATATAGATTTGACTAGTATACATATAATTTCTTTTTAGAAAATCTTGAATTCTAGAACATAAATATTTTTTCTTGTCACTTGTGTGCACGTATGTCGCACGGATTTCCTTTTTATCACAATTAAGGACTTGGAGCAGAGGTTTTAGAAGAAGAAAAAAGACTTATTGTATTCATCATCAACTGGATTACATCTGAGATATATGTAGCTATGTATGTAACAGTAAGCAATGCAACAGTAATAACAGAAATTAACTGCCTTCACTAACAGCCTTCACTAACTGCCTTCTACTAACAGAAACTAACTGCCATTTTTCTAACTAACTGCTAGGCATTTATTCTAATATCCCCCCGCAAGCTGGAGTGTACATGGAATGGAGCCCCAGCTTGGAGACAAACTTTTGAAACAGCATTGGTTGTAGAGGCTTAGTTAGGATGTCTGTTGTCTGGTTTTCAGTAGAAACATGTAGAAGCCTGATGATGCCTTTCTGAACTTTCTCTCTTATCAAGTGACAATCAATCTCTATATGCTTAGTTCTCTCATGAAACACGGGATTCTCTGCTATAGCAATTGCAGATTTACTATAAGAGAATAAAACACCTGCCTCACCTGAATGAACCTCAAGAGTTTGAAGCAAATAGAATAACCATTGTATTTCACATGTTGCAAGGGCAATAGCTCTATACTCAGCTTCAGATGATGACCTAGAAACTGTGTTTTGCTTCTTTGATTTCCAGGATATTAGAGCATTCCCTAAGAAAATGCAAAAGCCAGTCACAGACTTTCTTGTGTCAGGACAAGCTGCCCAGTCTGAATCAGCAAAGCCACTTATCTTCAATGTTGAATTTGTAGAGAAAAATAGACCTTGTCCAGGATTGCCTTTGATATATCTAAGCACTCTGTGGGCTGCTTGCAAATGAGTGATAGTAGGGCAGTCCAAAAATTGTGAAAGTTGCTGAACAGCAAAGCAAATATCAGGCCTGGTAATTGTTAGATATAGGAGTTTTCCTATCAGCCTCCTGTACACAGTGTTGTCTTCCAGTGGTGCACTATCATCCTTGGAAAGTTTACTTGTTTGAACCATAGGACATTTGGCTGGTTTACTTTCAAGGAACTTTGTATCATGTAGAAGATCAAGGGCATATTTCCTTTGTGTCACAGATATGCCAGTGTGATTTCTAGCAATTTCAAGTCCCAAGAAAAACCTCAACTTTCCCAGGTCTTTGATTTGAAATACTGAATGCAAATGATCCTTGACTTGTTGTATCTGATTGCTATCACTGCTAGACAATACTATGTCATCAACATACACAAGAAGAGCAATGAAATTATCCCCAGTCCCTCTAGTAAACAAGGAATTATCGCAGGTGGCTTGCTTGAATCCCATACTGGATAACTCAGAGGTTAATCTTGCATTCCATTGCCTACTTGCCTGCTTTAAACCATAAAGGGACCTTTTCAACCTGCATACTTGCCCAGGCTGTGTAGGAATAAACCCTGGTGGGAGAGTCATGTAAACCTCCTCTTTAAGGTCTCCATGTAGGAAAGCATTGTTGACATCAAGTTGGTATAATTCCCATCCTCTTGCAGCTGCTACAGAGAGTAAAGTTCTGATGGTAGTGACCTTAGCAACTGGGCTGAAGGTATCAACATAGTCTATCCCACAAGTTTGAGTGTACCCTTTTGCAACTAGTCTGGCTTTGCACCTTTCCACTGTCCCATCAGCTTTATGTTTCACCTTATACACCCATCTGCACCCTATTGGTTGTTTAGAGGGTGGGAGAGTAGTGAGGTCCCATGTGTTATTGGCTTGTAAAGCATCCACCTCTGCTTGCATAGCAGCCTTCCAACACTCATGTTTGATGGCCTCATTGTAGGACTTAGGCTCTTGAATGCTGAGAATGTTGGTGGTGAAGGCTTTGAAACCAGGTGATAGCTTATCATAGGACAAAACAGTTGAAAGAGTATGAGGGGAGGTCCTTCCACTGGGCAGATTACAGTCATAGTCCCTGAGATATGCAGGCCTTGATGTCTGCCTGCTGGACTTTCTAGGCTGCACTGGAACATGGTGTATGGGAGCATGAGCATGCTGAGTCTGTTCTTCATCATGTGAGTTCTGAATAGGATCAGAAAGGGGAATTATTGGTTCTGCATGGCTACTAGATTCACTTATTTGTTCCCTTTGGATATGCTTATGATATTCAACATCCTCCACATTGCTATTGTCCCTTGGTAAGATGGGATCCTGAACTGAACCTTGTCTGCATGGTTGATAGTCTGCCTTGTAGGGAAAAATGCCCTCATAGAACACCACATCTCTTGATATAAACACTTCTCTGGAAGTCAGATCAAACAACTTATACCCCTTTACCCCATTGGGATATCCCAGAAACAAACATTTCCTGGCCCTGGGTGAGAACTTCCTTTGGTGTCCCTTGTTCACTACAGCATAAGCTAGGCACCCAAATATCTTAAGATGGGAATATTGTGGTACCTTATTAAACATCACTTGATGAGGGATCTTGCCTTGCAAGGCTGTTGATGGCAACTTGTTGATGATATAAACTGCATGGAGTACACAATCTCCCCAGAAACCATCTGATAAGCCAGCTTGAAATTTTAGAGCCCTAGCAACTGCCAAGATATGTCCATGTTCTCTCTCAACCACACCATTCTGCTGAGGTGTATAGGTGCAGGTTGTCTGATGTATGATTCCACTTTCTTGAAAGAAGCTTCCCATCTTAAATTCTTGACCATTGTCTGTTCTTATGCATTTGACCCTTTTTTCAAACTGTGTGACAGTGAAGGCACAAAAAAACTTTATCAATGGCCTGACTTCACTTTTGCTTCTCATTAGATAAACCCATGTGGCCCTGCTATAGTCATCCACAATGGTTAAAAAATACCTGTGTCCATAGATGGTGTGTATATAATATGGCCCCCAAATATCAATGTGTACAAGTTGAAAGATATCAGTAGAAACAGTAGAGCTAGTATTAAAGGGCAATTTCTTTTGCTTGGCTAAATGACAAACAGTGCAAGCATCACTTTTATTCATTCTGGAACTCATGTCAAACAAGGACAATTGTTTAAGTTTTCCATATGAACAATGGCCTAATCTAGCATGCCATGTGCTACCAGCATTACAAGCATTAGCTCTAACATGTTCTATCTTATCCAAGGCAGAAAATTCAGGTTTCACTAGGTGATATAGTCCCTTCTGCAAGCTAGCCAAGCCAATCATCTTCCCACATTCCTGATCCTGTATGATGCACAGATCAGAATACAATAGCAGCTTGCATTTAGATGTCTTAATCAGTTCACTGACAGAGATTAGATTATAGTGAAAAGCAGGAACACAAAACACATTCTGCAGAGTTAATCTATCAGCATATATAGATCCTATGTGTGTAATGTCAGCTTTATCACCATTTGGTAGTTCAACAAACATTCCCTAAACTCTTCTTGCATTTGTCAACAAGCCATGATGACACACAACATGGTGAGTAGCCCCACTGTCTAATATCCAACTAGCCTTGTTATCAAAAAAGAGTTTGAGATGGTTACCTTCAAGTTGTGAATTGGGGGCAAAATTAGCAGCTATTAAATTGGCTTGAGGTGTCACCCCTCCGAGGTCACTTAGGGGTGATGGACTCAGTGATGAAGGGTCATGAACCATGCCATCTCTCTGCAAAATCTGCTTGAGTAACCTGTACTCCCCTTGGCTTAAGGTTATAGAACCAGTGTTTTCATCGACTTGTTGTTCATTAGAGGTGAATTGCACCTGATTAGCAGATCCAACATTCTTATTTCTAGGTTTCCACCCTGGTGGATAACCATGTATCTTATAGCACTTTTCTGCAGTGTGACCAGTGTATCCACAGTGAGAACAAACTGGTTTCTTATTATTGTTGGACTGAAACTTCTTACCACCATTATTCCCCTTAGTGAAGAAGATGTTGCCTGCTTCTTGCACTTGTAGACCTCCTCCTGCATTATAAACCTCCTCTCTTGTTGTTGGATCATCAAGAAAGCTTCGTCCACAGTAGGAAGAGGTTTTGTCATCATAATTTGAGACTGAACGGAGGCATAAGTGTCATTGAGTCCTCGCAGAAAAACAGAGAGATTGTCACTCTCTAACTGCTGTTCAAGGGTTTGCAATAATCCACAGTCGCATCTCCTCTCACATTTGCAGGTAGGCAAAGGTCTTATAACCTGGAGTTCATCCCAAAGAACCTTTAATTTGGCAAAGTAAGTGCTTACACTCAGATCTCCTTGCCTTGTCTGATGTATCTCAGCGTGAAGATCAGAGATTCTGAAAACATCAGCCTCACTGAACCTTGCCTTCAATGTGTTCCAAACTCTCTCAGTCGTTCCTCCCCAAAGAATCGTCTGAGCAATTTCTGGTGAAACCGAGCGCATGATCCATGTAGCCACCATATTGTTACACCTTCTCCAATAGGGATACTTAACTTCCCCCACGTTCGGCATCGGAATTGTGCCATCAACAAACCCTAATTTGTTTTTCGATAGCAGAGACATCTCCATCGCCCTGGCCCAGGGGTGGTAATTCCGGCCATCCAGCAGCGTAGAAACCAGAATCAGTGAGGGGTTCTCATTTGGATGAAGGAAGAAAGGGCTAGCAGCATCGTTTGGATCGAAGTTAGCTCCGGCAGCATCGGAATTCGCCTGTACTGGACCGGAATGCGTCGCAGCAGGTGCCGGAGCTGTCGTGGTCGCCGTCGGTCTGATTGTTGTACCGTTCCAAGCCATGAGCGCAGTTTACTGCTCTGATACCATATCACAATTAAGGACTTGGAGCAGAGGTTTTAGAAGAAGAAAAAAGACTTATTGTATTCATCATCAACTGGATTACATATGAGATATATGTAGCTATGTATGTAACAGTAAGCAATGCAACAGTAATAACAGAAATTAACTGTCTTCACTAACAGCCTTCACTAACTGCCTTCTACTAACAGAAACTAACTGCCATTTTACTAACTAACTGCTAGGCATTTATTCTAATACTTTTCAATATGCCATGACTAATTCTTTTAAGCAATTTAACAACAACACTATGTGCAAGGACGGAGCCAAAGGTGCAGGGGGCAGCTGTCCCCCTCATGCCATATATAATATTTGTATGTATATGTATATATATTATATAGTACATGATTTAGTATTAGTATAAAAAAAACTATTAAATGTACGTGCACTGTATGAATGTTCTATTATCTTAGGCTCTTAGCTCTCATTGCCTCGATCTTTTTCTTTCCCTCAAAAAATTATGCAAAAATAGAGAAACTAACTCACTCTTACTCAAATGGTTGCTGAGAATTGTTTCTTGTAGTTGGACTCTACGTTAGTTTTTGACACAGAAAGACAAATTAGTGAAAATTTACATCTCATTAAAAACAGTACGTGCATTTTTAGTTCTATATATTTTTAATTTCTTGAGGCTTACCTACTCGAAAAGGTAATAAGCTAAGTTGAATTGGATGTTCTTGACAAAGACTATCAAATTAGTGGAAATTTGCAACATTCTCCTGTGCGGTTGAAATATATATGCTTAATCATTTTACTAACAGCATGATTGTGCGTGGATTGTAGTTTGGCCTGTCCTGATGGTGATCAAGTCACTTCTTGTAACTTTGAACTCCGTGAAGTCCTTTTATATTGAATACAATTCACGTGCGATAGAATCCTGGACCGATTCTGAGCATGTTTAACATGGACGATCGCACAGGGTCCTCAATTTTTGGGGGTTCCATATTTAAAAAAAAAATATATGTATATACAATATACATGATTTCAGGCTAAGTGTATTCAAATTGTGCCAATTTGTGATAGTGTTCATTATTTTTTATACATTGTAGATCAAACTATTATTTCATTGACCCAGAGGTTTGAGCAATATGAAATATATGAAGGAACTTTTGATTTTTTGTTTAGTTCTGAAAAATTACCATTGGTGGCTGAAATGAATTTGAAGTCTTGTTACATTTGTTTAGAAGCAGCTCTTAAAAGAGATGAACAGTGCGATGATATTGATGAAAATGAATTGTATATTGAACTAAAATTGCTTAGAGATATTTTATTGAAAAAAAAAAAAAAAAAAAGATAGGGGCAGTGAGTACAGTATATTGAATTCATTGAAACAGATAGGTTGTTTTCCAAATGCTACTATTGTATATCGAATATTATTGGCTATTCCAATTACTGTTGGCGATTCCAATTACTGTTGCCTCTGCAGAAAGGAGTTTTTCAAAGTTGAAATCTTACTTACGATCAAGTATGTTGCAAGAGAGACTCAATGGATTAGCTTTAATCTCCATTGAAAATAAGCTTTTGGAAGGAGTAGATATCAAAAGTTTGGTAGATAAATGATTTTGCGTCTAAATGTGCACGACGCACTTCACTTTTTAAATGAAATTTTAGTTGTATTTTTTATATAATATTTATATTTTGATATAATTTTTTGAACAACTATTATTTATATATAGAAATCACTTGAAAAATGGGTTCTAAATTAAGATATTGCACAAGGCCCCAATTTTTATTGGAACGGCCCTGCTAATCCGGTATTTGACCTAAAGTCAACCCAATTATCATTCGATTTATGGAAACCTCAATAGCAATGATTTTTTTTGGGTGGTATTTTAGATGCCTACTAGGATAAAGAGAAGAAGGAAAAAGAGGGAAAATAATTTTTTTTTTTTTTAAAAAAAAAAAAAAAACCTAAAGATCATTATGTCTGATGCAAAAAAAAAAAAAAAAAAAAGAACAGTGAACGCGCTCAACTGGGCATGGTCTATGCAGTTCACGCACGGAATTACGTCTCTCTCCTTTACTTTCTCTCTCATACAGGCCTCACAAAAAATCAATCTCTTGCCGGCAGTACACAAACCTTCTCTCTCCTCCCTCTCTCTCCTCCACATAAGGTATAATTTCCTAAAAAACTGAGCAAAAATCACTATTGTAGTTGCTCTTATATCAATTACTAGGTTGATATTACCTTATGGGGTGTTTGGATGTAATGAATTGCATTGGCATTGAATTGCAATTCAATGAAATGATAAACTACATTGTTTGGTTGGTCCCTCAATTCATTGAATTGCAATTCATAGGGATTGCAATTCAATGAATTCATCCATACAATGAAAAGGGAAAAGGAAGGAAATGACATATTTGCCCTTTGAATGTTATTATTAATATTATTACATAAGAGTATTTTAGTCTTTATATCACTCCTCCCATTTCCATTATTTCTCCCTACCAAACAAGGTAACTGTAATTCCTACTTTATTCATACCTTATTCTTTTCCTACAGAATTACAATTCTTTTCCCCCTTAATTCCTTCCTTCCAACCAAACGCCCGGTTGGCTTTACTCTACGAAACCTTTGAACCATCTAATTCTTAGACTATTCTGTCCTTCCATTATTCGATTTTGCATTTCTGGGTCTTCAACTCTTTGGTAAACTCTTATGCTTTTGTACACTTTGACTATTGACCATCTGACTTCTTGACCTCTTAGATCTTTGACCATTTGAACTACCTGGTCTTGTACTATTATGAACTGCCCACTTAGTCTACTTTAGGGATTGAATTACTTTATAGTTATTTTACTTTTTGAGTGGTATAGTTCGCACCTAAATAAGACGTTGCGGATGGTACCGTAAATAAAATCCTAAGTTTAAAATTGTAAACGAGTTTGGAACCTAAACTTAGCTCCTAGCATATATAATAGCATCAAAATCTAATAAAAATAGTTTCTAAGATCTTTTTACAAACATAAAATTAAAATAATAATAATAATAATAATAATAAAAATTAAGCGAGCGAACTATATTTAGTTAAACACTTTCGCATAATATTCAATTATAGCAATAACTTTGAAAGCAATTTGATCAAAAATAGTTTTAAAATACCCATGAGATAAAACAAAAATGACACAAAGTCATTATATATACCTGTATTCAGCACATAAGATAACATTGCTGTAGAATTTGGTGTGAAATCTATTAGCTGTAAGTCTGTAACTTACCAAAGTCCATGAGCGTTAAATTGTGCTCATTCTACCTTGAGAGTTGTAAAGTAAAGAATAAATACTAGCTATTATGGGCAAGAATACATACAAATTAAGCCAGTCAGTCAACGTGTTAATCCATAAAATCCCTGTAACGTAACAATACCATCAAAAGTAACATTAAATACACAAAACCATATAGAATGTGTCACTTCACTATCACTATATATAAACTTAAAACCACCCGTCTGGCATGGGAGGAGTTTGAAGGTGGCACGCAGCACGCACGTATGTGGCACGGTTTTCCTTTCCAATATGGCTTCACTAATTCTTTAAATTTTTTTATTTTGGTTTGGTTGATGGGGTGTATTCAATCATGACTTTTGTAGAGTTTTAAAAACTTTTAAAATGATAGATTTTTATAAATTTTAATTGACTTTCATAGAGTCGTTTCAAAACTTTTTAAAACTTTATAAGACTCTATAAAAGTCTATATAAAAAACATTCATAGACTTTTATCAACTTTTTATTTTAAAAAGTCTACAAAAGTCATTGAAATTCTAAATTGAATACATCCTTACAAACTTTCAATAATTTTGATTCTTATCATTTATAATTTTCTTACAAAATATTTATAATATATCATAAAATTCTTCTTATTATATAGTTCTTCACTCACAACAACATTCTCAACATTATTATTTTTATCCATAGTATGCTGAGACTTATATGCTAATTACTTATATATATTATTAATAAACATCAACACACACACACAAAAAAAAAAAAATAAAAAAAAAAAAAAAAAAAAAACTATTTCATTAGAAATTCATAACAATATTGAACAATAAAATTTATAATAAAATAATTGATCAAATATGTTAGGAACACTTGTATTAGGATTTTGATGATACCAATGTAACCTAGAATGTAGACCCCTAACCTTCGTTATTTTTAATCGCTGCTTTCGTTCTAGACGAAAGTTGCCATAACTCACATTGTAATTCATGTTAAGCTAGACAAACACACGAAAACGAGTTATGTTCCTTTGTTAGGGCTATCAAGATGAAAAGAGACACAAAGCACGAAGACTGAAGCGTCAACAACGAAAGTTCATCAAAGGTTATCAACCACCTCGTAGAGACAACTATCATTATGACGATTCATCAAGACATTCATTCTCTTCAACAACAACAAGAATGTCACTACTGTCTGAGTTGACTAACCATCCTAGGAACAAAAGGACCTCAACATGTGGGACACGCATACCAAGGAGCATTAAATGAAGTTGTACCATCCTTCTGAAGCTAAAGGACAAAACCCTAAGGCTATCCATGCCCTCAACGGATACATGGTACAAACCACATTAATGGAGCATTTAATGCAGCAAGCTCCCCGGTCCTTACCCACTGGATAATAGGTTTGAAATTTCATCTCCCTCCAACGGATGAAATTTCCCTCACCTATATAAACCCACCTTCATCAACTAAGAAGGTGCTGGTTCTTTCACTCGATAATACTATCAAGCAAAAGCTCTTAAACAATCTCAAGTTCTCACCAAGCTTTTGCGAACCAGTGTCAAGGCGTGAAGATATTTGAAGAAGCTCATTATTTCTTATCTTCCACCTTGAACAAGTCTTGCATCTTATAAGAAGCGATCATCCTTCATTTAGTCAAGACTTCATCACGTTGGAGAAATCAGAAATCATTTTCTACCAACCTCAACTCTGAAGAAGACGTTG